CCGCGTACGTTTCACCCACAGCCGCGCGCCGGTATCTCCTCGGGCCCCTCGCGATCACAGACCGCCAAAAGGAAAAGGATTTCCGAGAGGTTTCCTGCTCGTTATTTAAAGTGGGAGCCCTGTGGGACATGTTTGGCATTCTCATCCACTCACTGAAGATGGCCTGTGATCCGAAGCCACTAACAGGCTCTCTCTCTCTCTCTTTCTCTCTCTCTTCTTTTCTTTTCTCTTTCCCTCTGGCTCTCTGAAGTGATTACCCTGCTTGTGATTCCACTGACACCCACATGTCCCCCGGAGACGTGCCTTCACTAGTTTGTTTAATCTGCCTCCCCGTACAGTAGGTAACGCAGCCGTAATTGAGGTGTGGATAGAGCTGCGGGAGCAGATGAAAACCGATTGCAGGCTTTATGAAAACTTGTCGGCGCGTCGGCTTCGCCGGGGATGACAGCCGTTTCGAGATTAACGCGCAAAAATGCAGCTGTGATAAGAATTTCGAGAAGTTAAACGTCGGGCCTTTGTTTTGCAATTTCCCTCTCTTTTCTTTTCCTCGCCCCTCCGCCCCCGTCGGCGAACGATGAGCCTCGTTAACAGTCAGAGTTACAGATGTTCAGTATTCCAGTAATGCCTTCCTGTGAAGCTGCGGTTCTGCTCGTCCTTTTTGCAGATGCTTTTCTCCGTTTGCGGAGCGGCCCCCGTGATAAGATAATGACTTCTCTGAGATTAGCGCACTATTAGCGAGCCCTCGCAGTCGAGCGGATGTTTGATCTCGGCAGCACAAGACAGAGCCCAAAGTTGCGCTGATACCTGAGACGGATCCCGCTTTCCACTCCGTTTGAATTCCTGATATGAAAAACAGCGAGTGGAACTGTGGAGAAGAAGAAGAAGAAAAAGAAAAGCAAGCATCAGATACTCTATCTGCCCCCGGTTAGCGTCTCGCCTATGTCTGTAACGCGCCTGAACCGCTCTGTTCAGAACAGACGGAGCGTCAATCATCGGTCCAAATCAGCTTTGAGATGAAACGAAATGCAGAGGGGAGAGGAAAAAAAACGATCCATTGAACTGAACTTGAATTAATTAAATATTACTGTATCATGCTTCCTCTGCGAGATTGCATCTGTCCTCAGATGTGTAAAAAAAACATAAAACATTCTCAGATATCTTTTCAAACCCCATTATTTGGAGATACCAGTAATTAAATTGACAGTGTCATTAATTGGGTTGAAGATAACTTGCATTGAGTCGAGGACATCTTAAACTCAATTAAAGATATCTCCAACTCAATTAAAGATATCCAAATGCCATGTCCCGCAATATGCAATCAGGCTCTTTGTGGAGCAATAGTATCAGTTCACTTGTGCCCCTGTTACAAAGACTTCCTTGTACTTCTAAAGTTTTCTTTTTTTTATCGTTTAAAGCCCGACTTTTTTAGCAGATGTCACCCGTTGGTGATGTGTATGGTCTCTTTAATGTGCCGTAATTATAGTATTTAATCCTTCCTTATCCAGTCGGTTTGAAATAGAAATGAAGATGAGGCACTTCTGACTATAGGGAATGGATTTAAAGGGGCAGCTTTAGTTTTTTTGGGATGATGTAAAAGAATTTGAGCCGTCTTGTCATAGATGTGTTGAATGCTTTGACATTTAGTACAGTGGGAGTATAAATTTGGTTTGTTAGGGGCTGGTAGATCCTCATAGATGGATTTCACAGCATCATCTGCATGTGATGAAAGTTTTGACCAATTGTCTTGGACATTTAGAACTACTCTTTGCCAATTCATTCGCCCATTTCATCTGCCATTTTGTCCTTTGTGCCCTTTATTTAGTCCCTTGATAATTTTCTTGGTCTAAATCTTTACTCACCACTGGGTGGAACGTTTCTCAGAGTCGGTGTAGTATGCCGTTAAATATTTGGGGGAAAATGAGGAGAAAGAAATCTGTGTTGCACATGGTCAGTTTCCTTAGTAGCGAGCTCAATGAGCTAAATGTGATTTGGCAGGTGGTAATGAAGCACATGATGCTTTAAATGCGGGTATGTCACGATTCTTTGGCAGCTACTGAATGTCTTGCCTCTTCCTGAGAACTCCCTGAAGAGCAGCAATCAAAATGTCTTCCGTCCACATATGGCAGATGAGTCTATGGACAGACTGCACCACGTTGATGGTCCTGTGGTCAGCGGGTCTCTCTCATCTTTCCCCACTTGAACATGTGTTAGATGGTCTCTGAAAGCCCACTCAGGCTAGGCCTGGTTACACAAGCTGGAGTCTGACTATCTACGAGTGAAGACTATTGGTCTTATTCAGGACTGAATAGCAACGTGTTTTCAGAGATCTAATCCAAATGGTACCATCAGTTTGCCAGGACTGTCATCTTCAATTTCTGTTTGGTCTGAAGTTGTGATCGTTACAATGAAGTTACAGAATATTTAGCAAATTTGAAGAGCTTCTGGTTAGCATTTCCACTTTTTGCCACATCAATTTGTTGCAGCTGTGAAACTATTAGCTTTTACAGTCAGTCCGTGCCTGTTTAGTTTTTGTTATTTTTTTCAGTCAACGGTTTGTAGATTCTGTAATTTGGTAAACTAAATGTGTGTTTCTACCCAGAGGCAACATGAAATACTTATCCTCCAGGTCATGCCTGTACTTTTTATCAAACGACACCAATGCCTCTAAATGCTTTTTCACTTCTTCTCATTTTCGCTTTTGTATCTTGGGGTCAACCCCTACTACAAAAAGCATCAGGTCAAACATTTTCTGTCAGAACCACCAGCTAATGGAGCTAGAGTCACTTTTCACTATGACATACATAACAGTGAAATCTGTCTCCTGTATTTTTCTGAAGCTGAAAACATTCAGTTGACTGTTTGGTTGACCTGTGCTCGGCCCTCCTCTCTGCCTTTGCCACCCAGGACGCTGTGCCAGCTGTGGGGAGAACGTGGTGGGCGAGGGCACCGGGTGCACCGCCATGGACCAGGTGTTCCACGTCGACTGCTTCATCTGCATGACCTGCAGCAAACCCTTGCGCGGCAAACCCTTCTACGCTGTGGACAAGAAGGCGTACTGTGAGCCCTGCTACATCGTAAGCTACACCTATTACTCTTACCTCACCGTGTCACTCTCTTGATTGTTGATGTAGAGGTTTTGGCTTTTTGTCATGACGTGTCACCTTGTCTGTGACACAAGGCAAGATTTTAGCAATATTCTTAGAAAAGGAGTTTGTGTGTGTGTGTGGGGGGGGGGGCTTGTTTGTTTGTTTGTTTGTTTTTTTTTTTTTTTCAAAATTGCCATGTTTCCATTAAGCAAATTTATGTTCGTAATTTCAGTTTGCTCAGAAACTCAGCTATTGATGCCATCTTGTCAATATGGGCTGAATTCTCTGGAGAATGTTTCTGACATCTTGATGTTCTGAAGGTGATGGGGGTCGAGCCAGTCATCGATGAGGTGTTCCTAATAATAAGGCCACCGTTAGATGACATATGTCAAGACAGACTTCATAGAAACAATGTAGTGTTTACATTAAGCAAGGTCCCATCACTACACCAGCCCCCATCTATTAGCCAAATTTGTTTTTTTTTGTTTTTTATTTTTTTCCATAAACTGTATCTCATTAAAACTTTTGAGATTTTTTATTATCATGTCTTTAAAATGTTTGATTGAATTCAGGCTAATTTAGTCTGATGATGTGGAAGAAGCTCAAGAGAACTGGACCAGTTTGAGCAGCAAGAGACATTTTGGATTTTTTTTTTCTTCTCAGAATATTTAGATTTAACTTTGTTTTTATAAGATGCACTAAAACAAACTCTACTCCCCTCAAACCAGAGGAACGATGTATAAAAAAAAACACAAGAAGTCCGAAAAATGCAAGGGCTTATTCAAGAAACCTTGGCCACTAATTAAGTTGGGTTCACAGAGTAGGTTACCTTGTAACCATGGAAACCAACCCAGCGTTTCTGCCATCAGCTGGTCAGCAGACTAACATTTGGTACCTGTTTTACATAATGGGCTTTTGCAAACACACACAGCAACACTGTACGCTTTTTATTCTGCTCTTTCCGATCTGACTTTTTCTATCCCAGGTTATAATTCCATATTTCACCTCATTTGCATTCAGAGATTGTTGAGTACAAAACTTTTACACTTTTTCACATGACTCAACAGGATAATGTGTGAGATTCTGCAATCATCACACTGGATGTAACTCTTCAGCAATATCTTTCCTCCACTTTTTGTCTAATTTGTGCAACGACTCGAAGTTTACCAGAAAAGTCGTCTGCAGGGCAGGAATCCCAGAAATTAGCAGAGTTATTTTTAATTTTCAGGGGTTTTTTTTATTATTATTATCACTCCACTTCAAAAATGTATGAGCAGTGTTCTTGTCAATGTGTTGCACAAGAAATGTAAAAGTGCTTCCTTTGTCAGGAAAGACACATCATCCGGTAAGACCACAGGGGAATCATTTAGCAGAAGTGCCCAGCCCTCCACAACAGCTGGAACTGAGAGGGTTTGAGTTTCTCACGATCAGCCGTACATGGCAACAAGTTGACGCCTATTTAAGATCATTTTGTATAAGTTTAGACCTTAACTTTGCCTCCTTCCTTCTACTTTTTTAAAGCCAGTCAGAAGTGGACTGGACAATGTGCTTTGAGTCATTGTCCTCTTGCTAAACTCAAATGAGCTTAAGGTCATGAACTAATGGCCACCCAGCCTCGTTCAGAGAGCTCAATTTGTCCAGGCCCCAGACCATAATACTACCACCACCATGTTTAGCTCTTTTGCTGAAAATATTTTGATTTTGCATCGGATGTAACAGGACTCTCTGTTACATCTCTCTCTCTCTCAACCTCCACTTTTACTTCATCAGAATATCCTCTAAAATGATTTGAGAATAATTGAGATATTTATTTGGCAAATGTGAGATGATGGGTCGTCTTGTTCTTCTTTGTCAGTAGTGGCTTTTCCTTGGACCTCCCCCACTGATTCTCTGATTGTTGTACCATGAAAACTTGGGATTTCAGCCGCATCGAAATATATGCATTTTGCAATGGAAACACTGTTCTTGCATCATATGAGTCACATTATGAAAACACCGATATTAGTTTTCTGGCTGATCTTGCAATTCCAATTTTGAACAAAACCAATTTTTTTGTCTGAAAAGTCGTTAAATAGCGTTAAAGTCGCTAAGTTGGCAGCAACAGGGAGACTGTTGCTAACTGCGCACATGCGGACTTGACCTGGTGGGTTGGTCTGTCAGTCAGTGCTCTGTCATAGTAGAGCAAAAGGGGACCAGGGTTGCCAGATCTGACCGATTTCAGTCCAGAAACAATGTAAAACCCGCCCAACTCCAAGCTTTTGGACTCGCTGGAGTCCTAAAGCTTTAAAAATCATTTTGCAACCCTTTCTGGACCAAATACATCTTTGTTTCTCATCTGTTCTTGGATTTCTTGAGATCAAGGCAGAATTTCTTTAATTTACTTCTTGTCGTCAGACAGGTTCTTCGAAGTGACTAAGATCTGTCAGTAATCAGGCGAGGTTAGAGTGCTTAAAATCACAGTAAATTCAGCAGAAAGTTTTCTGCAGGTTAGTTGGTTAGGAATGAAGTGTCTTATTACAGGAGCATCTCTGAACAAACTGCTGATTTACAGCAGACACTTTCAAAATTTTGAAGACTAATTAGCCGATGCGAGTTCTTGTGAAAACACAGTTGTTCAGTGTTCTGCAGAAAACGCCTTAATGTGCAGAAAAAGTCTGGACGTTGAGCCTCATGACAGTCAGAGCCTAGGCAGGCTGTCTCGGAAGTCATCTCTCTTCGGGGGCACTCACTGTGATTGTGGTTGTCTCGTCTGGAGGTTCTCCAACTCCGACACACGCACTAAAGAGGAATGGGATCATTTAAGAACTTTATTTATGCATTTCATCAGCATAAATGTTCTTCTGGCACTAGATCAAAAGGGTGGAGGAAATCTGAATTTCTTAATGAAAGTAATTTTTTCTTTTATTCCCATCCTGAGGGCCGTGCGCCTCGGTTACGATTAGGGAGCAAACTCGAAGCCCTGAGCCTCCGAGGAGGAGTGTTGGAGCCCACTGAGCCAAAACTTCAAACTCCAGTCAGTCCAGGAATGTCTCAGATCACATTCAGCAAGGTGGTTTGGTTGTGTTTATTTTAGATTTGCTAACTTTTGTCCCCCACAAAAAGCAGTATTCGGTTTAGTTGGTGAGCTGTTCTTAATTTGCCAAAGATGATTTCGTTTGGGGGAAACGGATTTCTGCCAACAGGTATGTAACAGGATACAACACCGATCTGATGTCCGTGGACTTAACCGGCAACTGACTAGGTTTATATATAGTAATGCTTTCAATCGATTGTAGCATTTAATCAGATTAATCACACTCTAACACTGTGGTTAGTCACTATGTTTAACTTTCTAAGCCTAAGAGCGTTTTCAAAAGTCTAAGAAAATCTTCTATTGTCTCAAATCAGACATTTTAAAGAGGTTTTAAAAGAAGTCATTTTGTTTTAAAAGTTAAGTTAGAAATAGTAACTGTCAATTGGCTGTACTTCAGAGGAAGGATAATTCATCCGTACTTTATGTACATCCCATGTTCATTTTATCCAAACTTTCATCAGGAGTTTTTAAAGTGAAATTTGTTGCTGAACACACCTGCCTGACTCTCCTCACTCATCTTTTCACTTGAAAGAAACACAAAACCAGCTAGGATTTAGTAAACGTTTCTCCAACCGATTCAAAATCCTCCCTCAATAAACCGCGTCGTCTTAAAAACTGGAAGCTCATTTCCCACTTTTGGTTTTGGTCATTTTCTTTTCAACATGACTTTGATACCTCGTCACATTTGTTGTAGGACGTCGTCCAGGTGGACGGAGCGCCCCTGGGGGAAACTCACCCTGAGTAGACGCCATTACTCCATTTGCCAGGAATTGCAGGAATACGCTTTTCGCACATCGATTGCCGTCCAACAAAGTATTCTGCCGTGTATCAAAGTAGGCGATCAGCAAGGCGCTTATCTCAGCCTCCCCTTTACATACTCGGGTTGGGGGAACAATGGCGGCATTTGAAGTGGGCGAGCCGTATCTCTTCCGCAACATGATTTGCCTCATTCAGACCGTTTGCCTAGATGTTACTGATTCCTTTTAGTAATGTAGAGGAACTCTCCCACACCTGTTATCGTTGCGGCTCTCGCTTCCTGGTTTTTACAGGCTACTATCTCTCTCTCTAGCCAACCTCACACTGCTTTGGCCTTCCATTCACGCCGGACTTATCGCCGCCTATTTGAATACGCCTTGTCGCCGATAAACTCTGCAGCCGTGCAATTAATGTCCCGTTTTGCATGGAGTGATTTAGAATTGTGGTAATGCGAGAGCATCGGCACGTCATTGTTTTTTTGTTTCCTCTCTCTTTGTCTCATGAGCTTTTGCCTGAGGTGTCCCCCCCGTCCCTATTGCTTCCGCTTGCTTGGTATATAAACATATAATAGAACTGACAGGCTGTGAACGCACACACACACACCACCCAGCAAGGCGTCGATCACTGCAAATGACAAACGGAGCTTTCAGCTTTACTGCCACCAAGTGTTTTCCAAGAAAGCTCTCCGGTGAAGTGGCTTCCAGTTGATTCAGAGCATCGCTGGCTAAATAACGGATAAATCAGATGGTATCTGGAAGCTCGGAAAATCAGATACCAGAGGAAGCCAGTGACAGAACAACTCACTGTACAGACTGTCCAATCAGGACGCTTTGGTCCCAAAATGTTAATTGTAGACAGATGAGAAAAGGCAGCATTGATGCAGAGTGCCAGTCCATTTATGATTCAATATCCTGTAACTTCAAAGTGCGATAAAGTAAAATTTCTTTGAGTATTACACTGAAGTCTGTGGAAGAGGATCAGGGTCACTGAGGGGGAAAAAAGTTCTGACTTTCTGAGAATTCTAAGACTAAAGTCAGAATTTCTGATTTTTTTTCGCAGAATTTTGACTTTTGATCTTAGAGGATTAATGTCAGAATTGTAAGGGAAAAAAATCAGAATCGTGAATTCTTTTTTTTTTCATGTAAAAAAAACAAAGAAT